TAAATAATTGTTGCTAGGGAATACTGGAAAGCAGTGTAGGTTCTGTTACCAATATGAAAATGTGCAGCTTCACTATCTGCCTGATAGTTGGCTTTCAAAGGAATAATGAGTATAACCATACTTGCAGATAGCTACAACAGATGAGATGAGATATCAAAATATCTGCGCTTTCTATTGCTGACAAAGTCACGGATACTGCTAATATTACTAAGGTTATTGTCTATGTTTACAATTGAATACTATGCAGAATTTCATTTAGATGAAATTTTTTCTCTTCCAAGTTTACATCCCTCTACCCTGAATTCTACATACCCCTGACCCTCAGGGGCCTTGGGTTAAAATTCCTGCTTTAGAATGAACATCATTTTTAAGCCCAGTTAGTTTGCACAAACTGCAGATCTCTAAGGCTGTAACTCTTTACAAAGAAAGAATGTCGTCCACAATTAGAAGCAATATCAAAACTCCTGGTCACTGCTTCCCACCCCCAGCAGTCCGTGGTCTGTCCTCCCATCCTTTGCTCCTGTTCATAGGGAAGGCTGGGTCAGTGTGAGTGAAGACACTCCTCGGTTTTACTGTCACCTACTCCATAACTAATCTTGGCAGCTATCTAGTATCTGCCTGAGGGGTTGTGACTTCAGTTCTGGTGGGAGGTAGAAGACAGAGAGGGGTGATCCTCAGGTCTTCCACCAACCCAGGTGTTACCATAGAGATGTCTCCTTCTTTGATGTCAGAGGCTAGGTTACCAACTGTGCACTTGTAATCAGTTGGGTTATCCCCAGGTGCAAACTTAGAGGACTTTAGGTGCCTGTGACTTAGAACCTATGAAAGCAACCAGGGACTCAGAAATTTGGCCATTTTGAATTGAGATTTCTTTTTTATTTAATATGGCAAACTGCTTGGAGTCAGGAGAAGAGTGGATGTGGTACACCGAAATGGCTTCCCATCACAAAACTTTTGTGGACTTGGCATAAAGACAGTATAGCTCAAGTCTTGTGATTTTAGTATTATCATCTTCCCCTGTAATTTCCCAAAGTCTGTCTGAAATCAACATAGCTGTTAGGGTCTGAAGTCCTTTCATGAAGACCATTTCTGCCATAGATGTGCATATGCATAGCAATGTGTTGCGATTGACAGCAAGATGCCAACAGATAGCATAAGGATAGGAGGGGATGTGGAAACCTACACGAAGATATAGGTGCTTACACAGAGCAGGAGCCCATTCAGCTTGCTTTCAGATGGATGGGCAGGCTTCCTCTGCCCTGCAGGTTCTCCGGGAAGTACAACTGCTTCTGACCCCACCTGTGCAGATCAGGAGTTCCTTCTGTTGGAATGAATGTGTTGTCGTTGTCATCCTGCCAACTCCCTGTGCCTCTCCCCAACCCCCTCACTCTGGTTATGGGTAAATCTGCTCAAGTGTAATTAACAGAGACAAGGCAAACTTAGCTCATTTCTAAGTGTTGTGTTTTTTCCTAGGAGAATAGTTAATCTCAGATGTCGCATCTCTCAGCTGGCCTCAGCATCAGCTTGCCTGATATCTGTTTCTTTACTACCTTTCTGACCTGTCCCCTCCCACTCTTCCTTCAGCTCAGTAATGTGCTCCTGCCTCGCTGGCCTTTTCTCTCCATTCCTGACCTTGTTAAGCATAGATCTACTAAAGTTCCCTCTACTAGGAACCCTTGTCCACTGGCTTGTCACATGGCTGCCTCCTTCTGGTCCTTCATATCTTAGTCTTTGAACTCTTCAGAGAGACCTTCATCTTTATCTCAAATGTTTATTGCACTTACAGCCCTTCATAGCACTTATAATATTCTGTAATTATTTTATATATTGATTTTCTTGCTTACTTAATTCTCTTATTCTCTTCCAGTAGTCTGTAATCTCTCCAGTACCAAATACAGTGCCTCATGCATAGTATGCTCTAATAAATATTTATCAAGTAACGAATGGAAGAATCATAGCATTGCTAAAAGAGCCAGGCTGTGCGCAAACTTATATGTGCTTAAATAAATAACAACTGGGATGATTCTATTATGATTTAAAGTATTTTTGTATGACAAAGACAAAAATAGAGCTACCTCTAAGGATTCTGTTTAATTGGAATGTAGATTTTGTGGTAAGAAAACATCCATTATGTATTAAATCATCTGGCTGTTATAAACTTGTTGAAATGCATTGAAAAAATACCATGTTAATTCAGAGTAAGGTTGTGACTCAATTTGAGTATTATAATAAAAGTGCTACATAAAATGCTCTTCTACACACCTATAATTAATATGTAATATGGATATAAATATGTTATGGTTGACATTTTCTCTTATGCTTTATTATTATTGTTGCCTTTTAATTTTTATTCCTTACCCTTTATTACTGTTTTTAACATTTTCATTCTCTCCAACTTTTCCTATGCATTTCTTTAATCCTTGAGAAATTGTTTTTTTCTTGCACTTATGGAATTTGATTTGTAGCATTTCTTAAATCTTTATGAATTTATTTAATCTTGCTGTATCTTAATCTAGTGATAAAACAGCAGTAAATGCGTATATTTACTCTCATGTTGGGGGTTAGAATTTGATCCGTATAACCACACTGTGAGTTTCTACCTTTTTATTCATTCCTTTTTGCTTGTTCTTCTTACTGCCACACAATCTGCTACTTAGTAAGTAATTTACAAGCTTTGCTGACAGCAAGAATGGAATTAGAACTGCACTCTTTTTTTTTGGCAGCTGGCCAATATAGGGAGCCAAACCCTTGATGTTGGTGTGGAACTACCGTCCCATATCTTGAAGGGATCAAGAAAACCTAAAATCTTAGATAATTTTTCTTTGCCTTCTCCCCTTTCCTTGGGGCATTTAGAGTAGAAAGTCACATGATTCAAGGGTGCAAAGAGGGAAGAGGGGTCTGGGGGAGCTAGGTTGTGGTGAAAACGCTTTAAGAAAAATTTCCCATCCCCCAAAGTCCACGAATCCACTATTTTCCATTATCTCTGCCAGAGAAGGGAATGACTTTTAGTGACTTAGTCCCTTGTCAGTCTTCAAAATAGTGTGATTCTTTGATGTCCAAGCATGTTTTTAAACTTGGAAAAATAGAGTATTATATCAGAGAAGAAGGCATGAATACAAATTATAGAGTGGCCAGAAATTACTTTGAACATTTAGTTGGTTTACTGAGCTCTGGGTCTTATAAATTAATTCAAAAGGCAGAATCTTATAGATTATGTTTCTTATAGAAAACACTGGACTTTATACATTTTTGAAGGACATTACCTTGTAGTTGTCCTCTTTTGCCAGCAGGTGGGCTGTATGCACACAATTACGACCCCTAGTTCAAAGGTGAAGCACTTCAAAAGGACAGACAGTAATAATCCTTCTGTCCCTTCCCTCTCTCTACTCCGATACACACACACACACACACACACACACACACAGATATACACTCTTGTACACAAATGGTAGCATATGGTACACAGTGTCCTGCACCTTTGTTTTCACATTTAAAGGTTTATCTTCGAGACTGACATATATCAATATATGAAGAGACTTAAATTTTTTTATAACTGCATAGCATTCTGTTGTACAACCGCACCATAATTTATTTAACTGACCCCTATTGATGGATATCAGGTGGTTTTCAGTCTTCTGCTATTACAAATAATGCTGCAGTAAGCAAACATGTACATCTGTCACTTTGCCTATGTGTATCTCTATAGGATCAATTGTTAAAGGGCATGGGCACTTGTAATTTCAATAGCCAAGGCCAGGTTGTCCTCCAAAGATGTTGCATCATTGATATTACCAGCAGCAGGTGGTAGGAATGCCTTTTTCCCCAGAACCTCACCCGTTTGGTAGATGAAAAATGTCGTTTCTATTTTAATGTATATGCCTCTCATTATGAGCAGTGTTGAGCATTGTTTCATATATTTTAGAGGCATTATATTTCTTTTTTTTTTTTTTTTTTCCTTTTTGTCTTTTTTCGTGTCCGGCAACGGATCGCAACCCTCAGTGTCGCGCCCGCACCGGACCAGGACCGGCAACGGGATCGCAACCCTCGGTGTTGCTCCCACACCTCGCTCAGCCAGTGAGCGGGAACCGGTCTGCATGTGGGATCCGAACCCTCGGCGGGAGCACCACCGCGCTCCCAAGCGGCGCACTCTCCAGTGCACCACCGGGCCGGCCCAGAGGCATTATATTTCTTTTCCTGTGAACTTTGTTTATGACTGTTGCTTACGTGTCTGTAGCATTGTTGGCATTTTTCTCACTGATTTGTAGATTATTGCATACTGGTGACATCAGCCCTTGTTCTGTGGTAAGATTTGAATTTTTTCCCCATTTTATTCTTTATGTTTTAACACTTACTAGGAATAGTTCCCACTATTCTTCTATTTCATAATTTTTCTAGCTATTCTTGTTTATTCTTCCATATGAATTTGAATTTCAACTTGAGAAGAGTTAAAAGCACTATGGATCATCATCATCATCAAATCATTATTTTTCCAATAATGCTTTTTTCTGTTTTAGCATAATCTGGAAAATAATGAACTGTACTAATTACTAGGTATTAAAAGAGCTGACCCTAGAACATTATGATCAGCCCTTGGCTTTTCTTACTTGATAAAGAATTGTGTATTGTGTGTTGTGTGTTAGTCTTCAAACTTTTAGATAAGAGGACACAAAGAGGGCTGGCTGGTTGCTGAGTTGGTTAGAGTGCAGTGTTACACCACCAAGGTCAAGGGTTTGGATTCCCATGCCACCCAGCTACCAAAGAAAAGAGGACACAGAGGAAAGAATGGAGAAAGACTCAAAGATCTCTTCTAGAAATAATTCTGTGTGTTTTCTATTCTAATAAGCAATAGTTTGCATGAAGTTCCCTTTAAGTTTTTGAAGTATTTTTAGTCCCTACCTATTAGTATTTCTCATACTATATATAGTATAGAGATATTTTTGTCAGACAAAAAAAATATTAGTAATTTTTTTCAGTAAAATTTTTAATTATCTTAATTTTAGGGTGGCTTATGGTGTTTTGGAGGAAATGGACTTCCTTACGCTGAAAGTTTTGGAGAAGTTCCTTCAGCTACAATGGAAACGTTCTGTTTAGAAGCTTTAATAAAACATTCTGAGGTAACTTACCTCACATTTTTCAAAATGTGGTTTACTTTTTATGGTTACATTGAAAAAATTATACAAGTTGTTTCATGCAAGGAAAATAATCCTCATTTATTGTAAAAGGAAAAAGAGCTTTCTACTTGTTTTTAAATTTGTGCTTGTTTTTAAATTTCTACTTTTTTCCCATTTTAATTGTTAGAATTGATAATCAAGATTTAGCACCAATACATGAGTTTAATTTTTGCTAAGTATTTCTAAAAATGGATTTAATCTTAATTTCATATAAAGAAAACAACCAGTTATCTAAATGTGGCATTCACGTTTGAATTATGCTATCTTCTACTGCCTTTCTCAGATCATTTTTACATGTAATATTATCAGGTAGTTAATTTCCATTGAAACATCTGCCAAAGATGTAGCAAGATAGAACAAAAGGAAATATTAGATGGCCTACTCTGGAATTATCACTATGGTCTATTTCTAAACTTTTTGGCATTACGGAAACTTTTCTATCATGGCCATAGTTTAATTTAAAAAAGAAAAGGGCCGGCCCAGTGGCGCACTGGATAGTGCGCCGCTTGGGAAGCGCGGCGGCGCTCCCGCCCGAGGGTTCGGATCCCACATACAGACCGGTTCCCACTCACTGGCTGAGCGAGGCGCGGGAGCAACGCCGAGGGTTGCAATCCCGTTGCCGGTCCCCGGTCCGGTACGGGGGCAACACTGAGGGTTGCGATCCGTTGCCGGACACGGAAAAAGACAAAAAAAAAAGAAAAAAAGAAAAAAAAGGAAAAAAGAAAAATAAAAAAGAAAAAATCAACAAACCTTGTAGTGCTCAAACACAGTGCATGAACAGCACATAAGCAGCATGTTAAAAGTGCATGCTTCCTGATCTCCTCTTGCAATTTTAATTTAGTAGACCTGATGTGGAGTCCAGGAGTTTGCATTCTTAGCTGGCATCCCTGCTGACCTGCTGGGGCTGATACAGGTGGCCCATCCCATATCAAGAGACATGCCATCCTAGGGATTCCAAACTCTTCACTTTAGTTTTGGGAACTGTTAAACCTGGCTTGAAAGCATGGTGCTTTCTAGTCATCTTTAGTTCCCACTTGTGGAATTAGGAACTAAGTACAAAGCAGAGTGAAGAAAGGGTTGCAGTACAAAAGGGGATGTGGGAAAACTAGCCTCAGTGTTGTGACTTCTGAATAGTTTCTGAAACAATAGATGCATCTTCAGTAGAAAGTACAGTATGTAGAGTATAATAGTTACCTTTCCAGAAGGCTGTCAAGTTATTACATATCTCACTTGATATATGTCTAAGAGGCATACTTTTTAAAGCACTTAAAATGTGATAAACTTTAATAAAAATTTAGAAGATGAAAACTGTCATATGTACATGACATGGTGTCCTGTCACTGAGTAAAGCCAGTGATGGGAAGAGGCAGGGCCATGACTGGTGACTGATGACTTCGGAAGACTAGTAGTTTGTTGGTCAATTTTGTTACCTTACCTTCACATACATATTTACTTTGGTTTTCATTTTCTGTTATCTTTTCTCCATTAAAACTTCAAATCCCTTTTTCTTTATTTTTACTTGATCTTTCTCTTCAGAAAATTTTTTCCACTTCTGAATTTGAGGTCTGCTCCATGAAGTGGGCATCCTGTGAGGTAGGGTGTTGGGCTGCAGGGGACTCTTCTCCAGCTGTGTGAATCCTTGTCTGTAGAGAAGCAAAATCTGCCTGCTTGCAAGAGGACTAGTTCCTGTTATTAGATGGCAGGTTTCTCAAGGTTAGAGAACCATTTTAAGGTAGTTTCAAGCCAAAGTATCACTTTAAATTGAAACAATTTTGTAATAATGACGTTGTCAGGTTATGTCTGACCAAGAGCTAAACAGAATAAGAATAAACATTGTAGAAGTCCTTGTGAGATATGCCTTTTTAAGATTTTATTTCAATGACTGAAGTACTTCCTACTTAGGGATTTGCTTATTTATTAGAATAAGCTGACATGAGAGTTTTGAGTAGTCTCTCTGAATCTGTCCTTGAGCAGGAGCCACTGGCGGTCCCCATCAGCATGCTGAGTCACCTCATTTCGTGAATTTGTGCAACATAAAGTGAGCTTTCATTAATTTATTGTGCTAGATATCAACACATTGTGATAAGATTGAAGCAAACGGAGGCTTGCAGCTACTTCAGAAGCTGTACCAACTTCACAAGGACTACCCTAAAGTGCAGAGAAATGTAATGCGCATCATTGGAAATATGGCTTTGAATGAACATCTCCATTCTTCTATAGTTCGCTCAGGTAACAACTTTATATACTGAGTATTTTTTATTTATCCCTTTGTTCTCCCACCTTACCCCTTATGATAAATTAATTTTTCAATAGATGTAAGATTCTGCTTAGAGTTAGTTAATCATGGGTCCTTACAGCATGTTAGTTTGGTAGGGATAAAGAATTGCTTGAGATTGTAGATAATCCACATCCAAGATAATTGGTGTGTGGACGATCGCAAGAGAGCTGGTTTTGCCATGATGACCACTTAATTGCTTATATAATTTTTGACATGATTTGGTTAACCAAGAGGCCTAGTCAGACTAAAAAGAGGTCCACTGTATAATTAGTGATTTTCCCCCTTGCAACTAATAAACTGACTATGGGGAGATACTTAAGACTAGGCAAATATCTTCTTGATCCTCATCCTCTGAAAATTCCTACCTGATCCATTCTTTACCTCCATGATTGTAAAATGATGATTTCCCAACTCCAGCATGCCCTCTTCATTTACTTTTCAGTATTTGGCATTTTGGAAGCAAGAGTCCTTCCTTCTCTCCCCTTCCTTCCTTCCTTCCTTCCTTCCCTCGCTCCCTCCCTCCCTCCCTTTCTATCAGCACGGGCATGTAGATTTCTGTTTTTTAATGGTTTGTAATTTATTGCTGTACTTAATAATTTGATGCTACATTATCACAGCTTTGGCTAGTGGGAGCCCAGCAAACTGGCCCTTGTGTCCTTCTGATATGCCCACATCATTGTAGGCAGCATTCCTTACTTTCTGGCACAACAAGATGCTTCAATCTCATTTCTCTGAGGAACCCTAGTTCCTTTTAGTGGAGAATGATTATTAGAGAGCAAGATCCAGGTTCTAGGAGTGCTTATTGCTTCTGGTGTGTCTTTGCTTCTTGGCTCTCTCATAAAAAGATCAAGGTTATATATGTTATAGATAGCTAGATATACAGATATGCATACGAATAACAGTACATATTAATAAGTATACACATACATGTGCACATATACATGCATGTGTTCATATATATACATGTATTAGAAACCATGAATTTACACTTAAGAGTATCTTTCATCAGCAGAAGTTTTTAATTTTGAGGCCGAGCCCGTGGCGCTCTTGGGACAGTGCGGCGCTGGGAGCGCAGCAGCGCTCCCGCTGCGGGTTCGGATCCTATATAGGGATGACCGGTGCGCTCACAGTGCTCACTGGCTGAGCGCGATGCGGCCGGTCTCAAAAAGGACAAAAAAAAAAAAAAAAAAGAAGTTTTTAATTTTGATGTCTAATTCAGGCATCAGCAAACTTTTTCTATAAAGGACCAGATAGCAAATATGTTAGGCTTTGAGAACTAATATGGCCTTTGTTGCATACTCTTCTATTTTTTTCAAAACTCTTTAAAATATAAAAACTACTTTTTATTATTTCTTTCCTCCTAAATACTATGAGTTTTATTTGTTCTTCCCTTTATAGTTTCTTAAGGTAGAAACTTAGATCACTGATTTAAACCTTTCTTCATGTTTCAATTAGCTATTGGTGTGTATCAAACTACCCAAATCTCAATGGTCAAAACAGCAGTCATTTATTTTGCTCATGAATCTAAAATTTGGGCCAGGATCTGTAGGGAAGGCTTACATCTGCTTCATGCATTATCAGCTGGGCAGCACAGCGGTGGAAAGGAGGATCTACTTTCAAGCTTGCTTACTCACATGGCATGCAAATTAGTACTGGCCAGCAGCCAGGAGGTTGCTGGGCTGTAAGCTTGGGGATATTAGCTCCTTTCCATGTGGCCCGAGCTTCCTTAAAGCATGATGGGTTCCCAGGGCAAATGTTCCACGAGAGAAAGCCAAGTATAAGTTCTTTTGCCTTTTATAACCTATCCTTGGAAGTAATTTCCACTGTTATCTATTGATTAGAAGCTAGTCACTAAGGCTAGCCCATATTCAAGGGGATGCGATTTAAAGGGGTTTAGACTCATTCCCTCTTGATGAGGATAGTGTAAAAGAATTTGAAGACATGTTTAAAAATCACTACAATTATTTTCTCATATTGATATTTAAAACTATAAATTTCCCCCTAACTCTGCTTTAGATGCATCCCCCAAATTTTGGATGCATTGTGTTTTCATTATTATTCAGTTTGAAATATTTCCTAATTTCTGTTATGATTTCTTCCTTGTCTTGAAAATGTGCTACGTAATTACAGATATTAAGGGTTTTCTAGCTATCATATATCTCTGATTTCTAATTTAATTCCATGTGTTCAGAGAACACACTCTAAGATTTTAGTCTTTGGGAACTTGAGATTTATTTGGTGGCCTTCTCTGATATGCTCTATCTTGGTGAATGTTCCGTGTGCACGTGAAAAGAATGAGTGTCCTGCAACTGTTGGGTGAAGTGTTCTCTACATGACGAATCCAGTCAGTTCATAGCGTGCTCACATCTTCCCTAGGCCTTTACTGATTTTTGTTTAGTTCTGTCGGTTACTGGATATGTGCTAAATTCTTCTGCTGTGATTGTGGACTTGTCTGTTTCTCCTTTTAGTTCTGTCAGACTTTTCCTTCCTGGTGAATTGTTCATTTTCTTTCTTTATTTTTAATGGTTGCTTATTTATGTATTTATTTAAATTGACAAATAAAAAATTGTATATATTAGTTGTGTACAACATATTGTTTTGAAATACATATACATAGTGGAATGGCTAAATAGTGCTAATTAACATATGCATTACTTCACATACCATTTTTTTGTGGTGATAGCACTTAAAATCTACTTTCTTAACACTTTTCATGAACATAAAACATTGTTATTGTACAATAGATCTCTTGAACTTATGTCTCCTAACCGAAATTTTGTATTCTTTGACCAGCATCTCTTAAACCCCCACCCCCAATTCATTTTTTCTTATTATGTAATGTCTCTGTCTATCACTGGTAATACTCCTTTCCTTTAAGTCTACTTTCACTGGAATTAAAATAGCCACACTGGCTTTTTCTTGTTTACTGTTTGCATTACATATATTTTATCTTTTTCCTTTCTTTTACTTCCACTTTTCTTTGGCTTTAAAAATAAGTACATCTTTTTTAGACAGCATATAGTTTGATTTTATTTTAAAAATTCAGTTTGAGGGCCGACCCTGTGGCGCACTCAGGAGAGTGCAGCACTGGGAGTGCAGTGGCGCTCCCACCGCGGGTTTGGATCCGATGGCTGGTGCGCTCACTGGCTGAGCGCGGTGCGGATGACACCAAGCCACCAAGCCAAGGGTTGCGATCCCCTTACCGGTCACAAAAAAGACAAAAAAAAAAAAAAAATTCAGTTTGATAGTCTCTCCCTTTTAACTGGAGTGTTGTCTCTTTACTTCTAGTGTAGTTATTGGTATTGTTTGGTTATGTCTGTCATCTTGCTCTTTGTTTTCCATTTGTCGCGTTTTTTTCCCTCCTTTTCTGACTTTTCTTGGATTACTTGATGCTGTGGATCGGATGTCCCCCCAGAACTCAGTGAGGCTTAATCCCCACTGACAGTGTTAAGATAGTGGGAAATTTTTTTATGGTAATTGAAAGGTGGAGCCTTGAAGAGGTGAATAGATTATGAGGATTGTACCCTCATGTATTAGGGTACTCCAGAGAGACAGAACCAATGGAATATGTTATAAATATATGAGAGGGAATTTATTAGGGGAATTGGCTCACATGATTGTGAAGAGAAGTCCCACAATAGGCCATCTGCAAACTGGGTGTTGGTTGTGTGGCTCAGTCCAAGTCTGAAAGCCTCAAAACCAAGGAAGTTGATGGTATCCTTCGTGTATGTCTTATAACCCAAAAGCTGAAGAGTCTTGAGCTCTGATGTCCACGGACAGGAGAGAAGAGTGTATCCCAGCTCCTGCGGACAGAGAGAGAGCTTCACCTTTTTTCTACTTTTTTTGTTCTGTCTGGGCCCCCAGCAGATTGGAAGGTTCCCACCCACATTGAAGGCGGTTCTTTCCCATCCAGTCCGCTCAGGCTCTCATGCTAATCTCTGCTGGAAACACCCTCATGAACACACCTAAGAAGATATTTTTTTTTTGTTTGTTTGTTTGTTTTTGTCCTTTTTGAGACCGGCCGCACCGCACTCAGCCAGTGAGCGCACCGGCCATCCCTATATAGGATCTGAACCCGCGGCGGGAGCGCTGCTGCACTCCCAGCACCGCACTCTCCCGAGTGCGCCACGGGCTTGGCCCAGAAGATAGTTTTAACAGGCTTTTCAGCATTCCTTAATCTAATCACGTTGATACCTAGAATTAACCTTCATACCTCATGAATGGAATAATCTGTTGATGGTTTAATGGTGGTCATGGGCATGGTTCTGATGATTTTAAAAGGAGAGCATGTGAGAGGCGCTCTCTCTCTCTCTCTCTCTCTGCTAGCCATTTTGCCATGTGATACCTACTGTGTCACTGGTAAAGCCACCACCACCAAGGCCCTCACCAGATGTGTTTCCCAGACTTTGGACTTCCCAGCCTCTGAAACTATAAGCAATAAATATTATTTCTTTACAAATTACCCAGTTTCAGGTTTACTGTTATAAGCAACAAAAATGGACTAATATTCTGGAGTATTTTATACATTCTGTTTTTTCTTCTCTTTTGGCTTTTTATAGTTTTTTTACATGTGTTTTTTTAAATGTTTGTGTCCTTATCACAGTCTACTTTGAATTAATATCATACCACTTCACATAATGTGATATTCTTACAACACTATAATTCAGTTCACATCCCCTGCCATCCTTTGTTGTATTGTTGTGATATATTTAACTCTTGTATATGTTATAGACTTCATGATACATTGCTATTATTTTTGTTTTAATAGTTGTCTTAGTCCATTTTGTGCTGCCATAACAAAATAACTGAGGCTAGCTAGTTTATAAAGAACAGGAATTTATTTTCTCACTGTTCTCGAGGCTGGGAAATCCAAGTTCAAGGCACCAGCATTTGGCGTCTGATGGAGGCCTTCTTGCTGCAACCCCACAAGGCAGAAGGCAAAAGGGCAAGC